TTTCTTTAATTAAAACTTCTTTAATTGATTTGGTGATCAAAAGTCTTATTTTTTGGTGATCATTTCACTGCTAATAAATTTGGTGATCAAAAGTCACTTTTTTGGTGATCAAAAAAATTGATACCCTATTTTTGCTATTACAATCAATGGATGCATGTCTTCTTTGTGTACTTCATAGATAACTGTATAACGACAAAGTACAACCCATAGTAAAAGACCTATTTGAATTAATATATAATTTAATATAAATACGATTTCTTTTAAATGATTCTTTATATAAAGTTCTAGACGCTTTTGTTTTGATTTTTTATTACCTGTTGTACGTGTATCATTTGTAAAATAAATTTTAAATAAATCTTCGATTTTACCATTTGTTTGCCGAACTAGTTTATCACGAAATCGGTCGAATGTCATTTCTTTATTTGTATCCCAATCATAGCCATCTACTAGGAAATTGTTCGAAAAGATTATCGAAACGAAATGAAAGAGGGTACTGGCTTCTAGAAGGACAAAAGGACTGTTAACATATTATTTAATCTCATTTTGAAATTTTTTTAACCTCATTTCTCTTGTCATCACATGACACTTTTTGCCCATTGCATTCTGCTGGGTGAACGCCAATCTGTGTGTACGAATGCTTCATACGGGAATTCTATCTTCAACTTACACAGATTTTTTTCTTTAGACAGTAGCAATAAACACACACGGACAAATACCATCGGATCACGGAGGCTAGTTTTGTCCTGCTGTTTCAAGGAACACACGGGCAAGGTTCTGAAGAATCTCATAGCATTACCTTGGAGGGACGCCTCGCATGAAATTTTGTTTTACGATCATGATAAATTTTTTCTGGCGGAAAATATCACAAAAGTCTGTAGAAAAGAATACCACCGAACGTCTCGAAATAGGGCAGAATTGTACGAGAAAAAATTGGATCTTTTCTTCCAAGTATTCGCAGGGTGTTTCCAAATTCCCCTAGAGAACGTACTTGATGCAAGTACTTGATTAACGGCTAAGTACTTGTCAATGATCGAAATACTTGCCTTATTGCTAAGAAGTACTTTCTGAAAGTACTTGGCAAGTAAGGACAAGTACTTACAAGTAAATTTACTTCTGAAAAAAGGCAAGTACCGGCTTCATTACTCAGATGAAGTACTTGGTCCAAGTACGTTTTCTAGGGTCTTTTACTAGCAAAGAATTTGTCACATTTTCTAGTTATTTGATAACATTTTTTTGAAGCAAGTGAGATGAATGATGAGATATCAGACGAATTTCTCCTTTTTTCTTGGCTTAACTGAAAGGTATGTTCAGTCGACAAAGACTTTAGTCAGTGGACTGATTAACACTACATATAGCTTTCTTAGTTAGCGCAGATGGTAGCAATTACTAGATTTAAGGTATCGCTCGACGAGCTGAGATTTTCAGTAATTATATATTTTAACTAGACTTTTATTTTTCTTCTTCGTTCTCTTGAAATGAACCATCTTGAGACGCTTTCTTGAAAGACTACGCACACTCTCTAAAAGAAAAAGGTACTTTACCGAACCTAAAAAGAGTTTAAACTTTTATCACCATCTATATACCTTTTTAAGGTTTTGTACAGCACCCTAAATCCGTCACTGGGAAAAACTTGCATGCGGAGTGCTCCCTCGGTCGAACCAAGCTTTTCCCAGTCACGGATTTAGGGTCTTAGAAAGATATATAGATGGTGATAAAAGGTTAAACCAACAGGTTACATTTTACTCATCCCAAAATCACTTTTAGGTCTGGTAGTAGGACGAATGTTAGCAAATTAAGCCAGATGGAGCAGAATCGTGCATCAACGGAAAACATTTTAAGGTATAGATGTAGAATCTCCAACGGATCTAAATATTTCAAAAAAATTCCATCGAGATTTCATGAAAAACATTGCTAATTCAAAAAGTATATAAAAGCTTAGTTTAATCATATTCTGGCAAACAAAATGACTCGAGGCCAGATACTAATTTTTGGTGTGTGGACTCACACAATCGAGGGGCTGCTCCTTAATAATGCTGTAATAATTGGACAGCTAGATCTCGATTGGCCATCCTATTTGTCTGTTGTCCATTCTATCCGATATGGTTTCATGGTCTTCATTATTTAATATTATACTTTCATCTTCGTATAAATATTCATCATAAAAAATTTTTATATCATTAACTGTAATTAATTTATCATCATTTTGATCAAATACACGAAATAAAATATCAATGATTTAAGACACGCTGAACCTTCCCAATAGAATACATGCAATTTTCCATATATCTTTACTATTAATACGATTACATTTATCGTCAAAATTAAAATTTGTAATACATTGTTTTAATAAACGCTTACCCAACATAGGCGTTATTTGAAATATACCACAAAATTCAGAAAATGAATATGTTTGATGATTATTATCGGTATCAAAATAATTTTTATACCAATCCTCGGGGACGGGTTCATTCATTTGTTCATGCAAATGCTGTTCTAAATTCATTACATTTATCTTTGATGTTAGGTTACATGCGGAATCAAGTCTAAAAGGAGAAGATTTTTTTTCAACTATATAGAAGTTTGTTCTTGTGCTCTAAAACATACCTTTCGTCCATTTCTGGCTTGCAATAGTTTATTTCACAGTAGTCTCCACGCCATGAGATTCTTACTCAAGAAATTCAAGAAAGTCATGTGCTTGAGAGAAAAAGCTTCACTAGGGAAGAGAGTCAATAACTCTTCCATTTTGCTAAATGTCTTTTTCCTACGACTACAAAATCCAAGACGATAATAAAAAACTACTGAATAAAACTGACTATAAACCAGACGATGTTAATGTATTTTATTGTGGTAGTCCAACAATGGTTAATGATGTCAAAACCTATTGTAAAAAATATAGATTCGCATTTCATAAAGAATTATTTTGACAGCAGGTACAGTTATTCCATTTCTCCATTTTCGTTAATTTTTCTTCTTTCTTCAATAATTTTCTCTCTCATTTAATGTAATTTTTTTTTGTATTTAATATGAAAACTAAATTTTATTTTTATTTATATCTACAGGTGTGAGAAAACCTGGACGTCAGCCGAATAATTAAAAGCAGATAATTGATTATTTAATTCATTAGAAAACACGTTTTTGTAATGTGTGTTAGACAAAAGAATACAACAAAACCGAGGAAAAATTATGGTATTTGTTTTGTTGTAACATATTTCGATCTCTCTAACTAAACAGAATTAGAAATGGTTTTAGAAACATTCTTTTATGTATTACAACTTTAGATAAAAATGACTCGAATCTTCATTGTATGCTTAAATACTTATTGTCCACTTAATACTCAGTGGTGAACTTGAGTGTTCTATCATAAATGTTTCGTTCTTCAAAACAATCATCGGTTCGACTATCCAATTTAGTTGATGAGCAATGACATATTGTGAATAGCAAATATTTGCTGGAAATTCTTTAAATCATGGGAACGTTTTATCGAGGTTCGAACCACTGATATTTGGAATGATAGGATCAATTCAGTGATAGTGACTAATTATGCTCCCATGACTGATTTTAAAGTCTAACTAGTCAAAATATCATTCAATAGATATCTAGCGGATCTGAACCAACAGCAAATGTTGTCCATTCCTGTACCGTCGAAACAAGATCAGTTAAAATCTTTTTATTCGGTCGCTCAGTAAATGCAAATTTTGTGTTTCACAATTTTTAATTTGTACAATCGAACATAACGTTCTGATCAAAGCACCTGTGCTTAAGATCACGTCTGAGACTTATAGGGAGAATAGAGGCAGTAAGATTAATGATAAATTGTTCTTTCACGAAGTGAGCATACGATGCATACCTTTTTCAATATAATATGAGATAAGAATAAGAATAAAGCACAGATATTCCTCGCATCGTATAGGACATTTTACTGTCGAGGAGAGATCAAAGATAAAAAGTGAAGATTACCTATTCTTTTTTGTATTGCCTGAGGAAAAGACATTATGTAAATTTGAATAAGTAAAGTATGCACAAGTGATTGCGCAAAAATATCAGCTTTGACGTTATGAAAACTTAAGTTTTTTATCTGTGCGAGATACAAGATAAAAGTTAAGATTGCGCAAAGTATTGATGCGAGATTAAAGATAAAGGTACACATTGCGTCAAAAAGCTTAATTTGAAAAAGGAGTATTAGAACATGCAAGATGCGGAGAAAAATTATGGATGATCTTTCTTGTAGCAAGTAGTTGAACTTTCCGAGGAACGGGCTTGACTTACTTGAAATCATGCACATAACTGGTTTTCACGGTAAAATATTTGGCGTTGAGAGAACCGAAAATGAGTCCTTCAATATTTTAGTTCTCTATGTGAGATCTTTGATCTTAGCAGAACTCGAGGCGTGAAGCCCAATCATCTCCTCTTTGCTTTTCCGAGGAACGTGTTTACAATTCCCCTTTTCTGATTTCTCTTATTATATCCTTTTTTTTGTTACTTTGTTTGTCTTTGGCGTGAGTCATTGTTATTGTGTGTTGCGGACCTTTGATGACTCTCGCTTTTCGTGAATAAAATAAACTAAATTAATAACCCTGTGAAGAACTGAATTATCTGATGATTGCATGATGTTGTACCAGATTTTTTTTTCGGGAACATAGTGCAAAAGGGTGAAATGGTTAAGCATAATGAGTATGTAGCAGCATGGCGAGAGTCGGTATGATCGAGCATGGCAAGAGTCGGTATGATCGAGGAAAACTCAAAAAGTTGATTACATCATGTTCTCGAAGAAAAGTCCGAGTAAAACATGGTGTAAAGAGGGATGAAAAGAGGATCGAAAATTATTTAAAAAAGCGAAAGAAATTATGTTTGACTTTCTTGTAGCAAGTGCTTGAATTCTCACACACACATGTGTATATTTTTAACTAGCTGTTAAAATAAAGAAAATCAACTAATGAGTCATTATCTTTGGTTTCTGGCACTGTTCCTGTGGGTACGCGCGCATTTAGTGAAAGCGCGTCAAAAGAGCGCTTTTCTTGCCTTTTGTCCGCTTATTCTGTGCGCTGAAGTATGCTGAATTTAATTTAATATTTGCAGTGCAAGAAATAACAAATTTCACTATATTTTTCTCTATAAACTACGCTAGAGGAAATAACGTCGTCATTGGCGCTTAATGGCGTCGATAAGAGCGTTGCTGTGGGCCATAAGACTAAGGCAAAAAGTCGCATGGATTATGTCGACATCAGAGAAAAGTTAATATCAAATTATAACCTTTATGCTGCCGGCATATTCATTCAACTTTATGCATAGAGAGAAATTTTCTCAGCATTTTGTCTTCACTAGACAGCATGCTATTTAGTGAATTTGAGAATATTCGACACATTGCTGAACAGAATGGCTATCCTCTCTCCTTCGTAAATACACGTATTGGGATTGGTCTAAATAAATATCTCATAATGAACAATATCGAGAAAACTAACATGATAGTGGAGTCAACCAGAAAGAAGATGTATGTTGAGCTACCATATGTTGGTGATGGCACAAGTGTTCTACAGCAAAAGCTAAACGTATTAGCACGCAGAATACGGCCTGATGTCGAACTAAAGTAACAACTTTCTTTATTTGCGACGTTTCGTTCTGTACTACAGAACTTTATCAGTCCAAATGATCCGTGTGTATCAGAGGCCAAACCGGTACGAATTATAACGCCGACCGGTATACCGGTATTAGTATGAAGTATAATCAGTTGGTTTGCTGGCATTTTGCGAATATCTGACGGATGACCTTGAACTGGTAAAAACTGTACCAGGTGCATACTACTTAACCCTGAAATGACTTTTAAACTTAAAAAGAACGTCGAATGTAATACTTCTAGACGTCTCTTCGGCAGGGATGTCGGATCCATCACTAGTACGACTGCCACCACGTGATTATATAAAGCGTTGCATTCGGATGTTACGGCAAGATAAAAATTCGCCTATCAGCACCGAATAATCCAAATTTTGCTTCTGTTCGAATGATGTATCAAAACGAGAGTAACAATTTTGAGAAAAATAATTAATACAACCGCAATATGCTTTTCAGTTTTTAGAAAATTTTCATTTTCCTGGAAAACGAAGAAAAACGAAAATCGGGCGCTGCTATGCCATAGAACTAAGTGTTAGCTATATTTTAAAATCAATCCGAAGTTTGTAGCACTTGAAATGGATGAGAAATCTTGGAATTACGGGAAGTTACTTTTTGACCATAGTTTTATGAATAGCTCTTCGAAA